GGTACCATTAGAAATTAATGCTCATTTTTGGGAATTAAGTTAAGTTATTTACATTTCTGGAATCGTGTTGAAATTCTACACAACTTTCATGTTTTCATTTTTGCAAATGGTTAAGAAATGAATAAGTTGCAAGGATTCTAGATGGAGGTTGAAGATGAAGTTATAACATGGACTTGTTTTGTTTTAAGTTTATTAATTGTTGTATAATGAATGGATGAAATAGGCCACCCCAGTGGTACAGCAAGCGCGCGCGTATTAGGAGGTCCTGGGTTCGAGCCCCAGCGATACCTTTTGGCAATTTTCTCATTCTTTTTACACTTTTCCATTTTTTTGTTTGCAGCCAACAGGCGCTTGGTCCTTCCTCCTTTGGGCCTGAGAATTTTTGCTAGCTTTCCACCCTCCTGACTGTTTTTAATACCCCTGACCCTAATTTTTATATTTTTATATTTTTATTAATTTTATTATTATTATTATTATTATTATTATTATTATTATTATTATTATTATTATTATTATTATTATTATTATTTTTAATACCATTTTTTTGCTACTAATAAAAACCCAAAAAAAAATATTTGTGTTTTTATTATTTATATTTATTTAGTTTATTTTCTTCATAAAAACTAAAAAGAACAAAAAAAATTTCTCTTAATAATTAATTTCTTTTTAATAATTAATATCTAGACATAGGTTTAATTATCTATTTTATTAATTAAAATTAATTTAGATCTTAGGTTTATTTTAATTAATTAATTTTCATATTATTTTTATTAAGTTAAAACCTTTTCACAAAAAACCCTAAAACACTTTTTTTTTTAAATTTAATTTCCTTCTTAATTAATTTAGGTTTAAATTTTGTTTATTAATCATCTCTCTTAATTAGGTTAAAACCCATTTCATAAAAACAACAAAAATCTTTTTTTTTTCATTTATATTCTTGCATTTTATTTTCAATTTTGTACAATATTCAATATGGATGTAATAGATAATTAGGTTTAATTTTCTTGCAATCCCCATGTGTAAATTTGTACACCCCATCCCCTAATGATGTAATAGCGTAGTAATTTTACTTTTCACAATTTATCGCTTTATATAAATGTTAGTAATTAGGGCTTGTATGGAAAGATAAAATCAACAAGTAGCAAACCATAATAAAAGACTAAACAAAGCATGAAAATCAATACACTTGCACACAAGCACCCCTAGGGTAAAATCCACTTGGTTGCCTTACAAAAATGACCATATTGTGCACGTGAGGTATCTTAGCAAAAACAAGCAAAATACAAGATCATAGTCCCTCGATGACGCTATCAAAAGTTGCCTTACAAAATGATCTTAGTCCCTCAAAAAATGCTAAGATACTTTGCAACATTGCTAATCATGGTTATACGATGACCCACGCCCGTCCAGTTTACATCCAAAGATAGGGTTGCTTACCAAATTAATGGTAAGACAACAATGTCAAAGGAATAGAAAATGAACAAGAAAGACATTTGAGTAAGTAGATTGTTTCTAGTTACTTGCTCCATTTTCAAACAACTATCCTTGCTATTTTCAAAACAAACACACACATTTCAAAACATCTTACAAACATTGAAAACATTTTCAAAAGACAAACATCTTTGTATACATTCTTACGAACGAGAATCATTACAAAGATTGCCTAAACAAAGGCCTCTTTTACAAAATACTTTCAAAACCATACAAAGCACAATTTCAAAACAAAAAGCAAGTGGTCTAGCAAGTAACTAAGAGCCTGTGGAAAACCATGGATGAAAAGGGTGCTAGTACCTTCCCTTTTCATAATCTACCCCCCGAACTCAAGAAACAATCTTAAAGGTCTTTCCTGTGCTTTTTCACCTTTCCTTTTGGATAAAAGAAAAGTCGGTGGCGACTCTTGCTAACCGCAACATTTGCGATCAAACACAAAAAACCTCAAGTCAGTTCTCCCACCGCATCACAGAACTGGCGAATCTACTGGGGAATTATTCTAAAAGTGGGGTTACCTTAGGGTTTAGATCACATTTACTTGCTTACATTGTTTGACTTGTATGCTTTACATTATGGTTCTTTGTTTGGGTTTGAAATCCTCTACCCGGATTTGGGATACATTATAGGTAAATAGCAATACGTTGTGGAAATTGTGCGGGGTATACTGACATGGTCTAAGCAATAACTATGTTAGTGTGACATATTCATGGGTACCGGTAGCCTTTGAGTCAATCAAATAGAATACGAGGCCACTGAGTGATGTCATGAAGCATTAATGAACTTCTAGAACCCTTTACTTGACCAACTTGGCCTTTAGGATGTAGTGAGATGACCAGATTTAGTGTAGTCCGAAGTTGGTAGATACTCGATACTACACTCATTGAGAGTTGGTTTCTTGGGATATTTTGGTCGCCAGTAAAGAGGCTTGAGCTGAAACAATGACCAAGGAAACAATCCGGTGATATTGAGCTCCTTAGAACCCGGTTACTATTACTAGGACAGATTTAAGCAAACTAAGCTTCAAGAGGGTACTTACATATAAAACCCCATGCAAGCATAAACTAAGAACTTGTTTGATTTGTTTGTATATGCATACTCGTACATAACATCATGGACATCATGAACATCACATACATCTACTAACCATTTCAAGGATTATGGAGATTCATCTTTGTTATTGTTTTGTAGGATATGGATTCACTTCGCAGGAAAACTATCCAAGTCAACCTTGTAAGAATTCCTCCATAACTTAAGGAGCTAGCTTCAAGGATCCCTGATAACTCTCCATTCACCGAGAGGCATGGTCGTCTACTCAACTTGGTCACCTCTAACACAGATGAGGATATGATGAAAGTGCTCTTCCAGTTCTTTGATCCTTTGCACCATTGCTTCATATTTCCCGACTATCAGCTTGTTCCCACTTTGGAAGAATTCTCTCAACTCTTGAGGATTCCCATTCTCAATCAACTACCTTTCAATGGTACGGAAAGAGACCCAAAGCCAGAAGAGATTGCTTAAGCTCTGCACTTGCACTCATCTGATGTCACAACTCATTGGGAAACTAGAAGTGGTGTCAAAGGCTTCTTAGCAAAGTACCTGTTTGAGAAAGCCCAAAGCTGTTGGAATTCCTTAGACTTGCAAGCTTTTGAGGAAATTGTGGCTCTTCTTATCTATGGGATGGTCTTGTTCTCCAATCCCAACCAACTCATAGATGTGAGTGCCGTCAAAATCTTCATGTCACGCAATCCGGTGCCTACGTTGCTAGGGGATATCCTACACTCTTTTCACACTCGCACAATGAGGAAAGAGGTGTCCTTATGTGTTGAGCTCCTCTCCTGGCAAGATGGTTTATTTCTCATCTTCCCCAATCAGTCTTAAAGAATGTGCAAGGATTAATGTGGTCACAAAGTTTAATGGCGCTCAAACATTCAGATATTCATTGGTGTTCCCGATCCAAAGAGAATGTTATCATTGTTGACCGTTGTGGGGAATTCCCTAATGTCCCTCTACTTGGCATTAGGGGAGGCATCACATATAACCCATGCTTAGCTCTAAGACAGTTTGGTTATTCCCGAAGGGATGGCCCGCATGAGATGTTGATTCAAGGCTTGGTATTCGACTACGACAACGACGATTAAGGTCTTCGCCAGAGATTCATCCGAGCATGGAGGATGCTAAACAAGGTGGATAGCAAGACTTTGGGACACAAAAATTCCATCCCTCTTGAGCCTTACCTCAAGTGGGTACAAACCCACGCTCAAAGTCTTATGATGCCTTATCCTTCCATTCTCCCGATGATCATTGATCCTGTTAAGGAGGGAGATGTTCCATACACTATCCTACATCCTGACATGCCCACATCTCTTGAAGACCTACAAAGGGATTGGATACAACTTAAAGGAGAGAGAGAGATACTTCTGAAGCCCAATTCTACGCAAGAGAGAAGAAGGTTTTGGAACTCACTAGGCTACTTCATGAGGAGCAGACTCTAAATGCCTACATAGCACCAAAGAGGATGCGCACTACTTTTTTATCTTAGAGTTTTGTATTATTTTACCCAAGGGGCATTGATGTACTCAAACTTTATCTTATTAATGTAACGTGTGTTTCCTTTTTTGTCTAAAACGAACTTGAATCTTTAAAATCCTTGAAAACATTGCATATGCACATATCATTCATCATAACATAAACAAGTCTTTTGTAACAAGTTTCCTCATCTCTCTACTGTTTATTTCAGTAAGATGGATCTCGAACAGACAGTCAAAGATCTACAAGTTCAAAACACACAGTTTCAACAGTTACTCGTGACCCTAGCCAAGGGGCAAGAAGAGTTGAAGACTCTGTTAGCTGGAGAAAGAAAGAAGAAAACAGAGAAGGTCATTGGGGTTTTGAACATGGGGAGAAGGTTTCAGGGACAGATTAGAAGAACCTTGAATTTTGCAACCACTTCTGGGGAAGGAGAAGGGAAAGGAAAAGAAACAGCGGTTCCGTCAGAATCTAAAGAGAAGGAAGAAGAGGAAGACTACTCCGAGGAACAGTATCCTCCGGTAGATGATAAGTACAGACATCTTGAAGAATGTTTGAGCGCTATGGAAATACAAAAGGTGCCAGGTCTAGACTTTGAAGAATTAGGTCTAGTGTCGGGGATCGTGATTCCTCCGAAATTCAAAGTACCTTTGTTTGCAAAATATGATAAGGTGTCATGTCTTAAGATGCACCTCCGATCATATGTGAGAAAGATCCAGCCGCACTCCTCCGATAAAGACCTGTGGGTGCATTTTTTCCAAGATAGCCTATCTGGAACATAACTCGATTGGTTTTACCAATTGGAAAGGGCCAACATCCACAACTGGGAAGACCTTGCCGCAGCTTTCTATAAGCAATATCAATATAATGCTGATTTAGCGCCTACCCATACTCAACTTCAGAGTATGGCTATGGCTTCCAATGAGGGTTTCAAGGATTACGCGTAGAAATAGAGAGATCTAGCTGGGAGAGTTCAACCCCCTATGTCTGAAAGGGAGTTGGTGGACATGTTCTTAGGCACTCTATCGGGCCCTTTCTTCAACCATCTGATCGGGAGCTCATCTGCAGGATTTACTGAGTTAATACTAACTGGAGAAATGGTGGAAGCTGGCATGAAAAGTGGAAAGATTCAGAAGGATTCATCTGCCTCTACAGCTGTGAGGAAACCTTTCATTGGGAAGAAGGAGGTATCTGATGTTTATCCATAAAGGAACCAAGGGAGAGCCGAACACCGACCAATGGTAGGGGTTGTCATGATCCCAAAGCCTACATCCGATCAACCAAGAAGTAATCAACCGAGGGTGGAGAGGCCAGTCCGACAATTCACCAAAATCAATATGACTCTAGCCCAGGTTTTATCGCATCTTCTGAAATCAAATTTGGCAACTTTAAAAGAAGCCCCAAAGAACCCTAACACAGCATCCCCTCATTATCCCCCGAATGCCCGTTGCGCATACCATTCCTAAAGTCCAGGTCACGACACTAACAACTGTTGGGCTTTAAAAAACAAAATTCAAGATCTTATAGAGGCTAAAGAGATTGAGTTTGATGCGCTCGAGAAGCCAAACGTCATTTCTGCTCCTATGCATAGACATGGTCACCACACCAATGTTGTTGAAGAAGATTTGTTTGTTACCACAATTGATGAACTTTTGACTCCACTCCCAATCATTAAGATAAACTTGTTGAAAGCCGGTGTATTCTCAGGTTGTAATGAAGACTTCCATCTTTGCTTATCCTCACCAATTGTTTGCCCTTTGTTGAAAACAGGCATTCAACGCTTGATAGACAACAAAGAGATTTTGTTTGAAAGTACTCCTGTTTCACCTGTTCCTGTTGAAGATGTTTCAATCATCACCATCTCCGCCAATTCTTCTAGGGGCCCCAAAAGACCCGTTAGGATTACATCAATTCCAAAGACTACTCCTCTTATAATCACAATGCCTAGGCCAGTCCCGTATGAATCAGACAAAATTGTGCCGTGGAATTATGGTGGGGAAATTTATTACCATGGCATCAAACAAGATGGGTTGGTTGCCGAAGAAATAAACTCCAAAGAAGAAGGCTCCGACATTAGCAATATTGCCAGAACCAGTAAGATTACCCGAAGCGGTAGAATATTCTGTCCAGAAATTTCCCCTCCAAAGGAAGTTTTTGGACCTGTGGCTGCTCCAAAGGTTACTTCCGTACCAATAACTATACCTGCAAGTGCTCCTATTGACGGAGACGATACAACTCCTGCTGTTATTCCTACCAACACTCCTGCTGTTGAAACTCGAGGAAAAAGTATTCAAGAAGAGCCTGTCCGGACGAAGGCTCAATCACTGACTATCCCCGAGACCTCCAAGAAGGAAATGGAGGAGATCCTGAAAATAATAAAGAAGAGCGACTACGACGTAGTTGAACAGTTGGGGCAAACTCCCTCCAAAATCTCCATGCTGGCATTATTGTTGTGTTCCGAGGCACATGCGAAAGCTCTGGTAAAGTTCCTAAAGACAACCCACGTGCCTCAAGAGACATCGGCTGACCAATTTCATTGTTGATATATATATTTTTCTTCATATTTATTAAACATATTATTTTTAATACAAAATACCAAAATACCTCATAAATACCATATATTATTTTTCAAGACAAAAAATTCAAAAATACTTACCTTTTCTTAAAGAAATTTATTTCCTTTTGGTAAATTATAATTAGGGTTTTAATCAAAATCCTTTCTAAAAATAATTTCTTTTTACTAATTAATTTGAAATAATATTGATTCATTTATTAGGTTTAGGATTAAAACTTTTTCCATATAAAAACCAAACAAAATCTTCTTTGCATTCATACATCTTTGCATATTTAATTTATCTTGTACATTATTTATTCCAATATTTATACATATTCAATTTGGTTGTAATAGATTAATTAGGTTTATATTATTGCAATCCCCATTCATAAATTGTATACCCCCTCCCACAAAATGTTGTAATAGCGTAATAATCTTTAAATTTCGCAATTTATCGCTTTACATAACATGTTAGTAATTAGGGGTTGTATGGCAAGTTAAAATCAACCAAATAGAAAACCCTAATCCAAGACAAAATCAAGCATGAAAATGACACACTTTTACACAAGACACCCCTAGGGTTATCCCACTTGGTTGCCTTATACAAAATGGCTATATTACGCATGTAAAGTGTCTTAGCAAAAACAAACAAATACAAGATCATAGTCCCTCGATGACGCTATTCAAAGTTGCCTTACAAAAATGATCTTAGTCCCTAAAAATGCTAATATACTTTGCAACATTGCTAATCATGGCTATACGATGACCTATTCTCGTCCCGTTTACATCCAAAGATAGGATTGCTTACCAAATCAATGGTAAGACAACAATATCAAAGGAAAAGAAAATGAACAAAAAGACATTTGAGTAGGTAGATTGCTCCTAATTACTTGCTCCATTTCAAAACAAATATCCTTGTTATTTTCAAAACAAACACACACACATTTCCAAACATCTTACAAACATTGAAAACATTTTCAAAAAGATCAACGTCTTTGTATACATTCTTATGAACGAGAATCATTACAAAGATTGCCTAAACAATGGCCTCTTTTACAAAATACTTTCAAAAACACGATTTCAAACAAAAGCAAGTGATCTAGCAAGTAACTAAGAGCCCGTGGAAAACCATGGATGGAAAGGGTGCTAATACCTTCCCTTTTCATAATCTCCCCCCCGAACTCAAGAAACAATCTCAAAGGTCTTTCCTGTGCTTTTTCACCTTTCCTTTTAGATAAAAGAAAAGTAGGTGGCGACTCTTGCTAACCGCAACATTTGCGATAAAACGCAAAACCTTCAAGTCAGTTCTCCCACTATATCACAGCTGCTGTTTTTCAAAATCGTGCAGCATGCAATCTATTGCACCCTTTGTGTAAATCGATTGCACGGGGTTTCAACAGCTATATTTTCAAAAGTTTTAAGTGTGCAATCGATTGCACAAGAATGTAAATCGGTTGCAAGTGAAGTCAGTAGCCATAAACGATTGAGTGCAATCAATTTCACAAGCAATGTAAATCGATTGCATTGAGAAACAGAAGCAAACGTTTTGAAAATTTTAAGCATGCAATCGATTGCACTAATATGCAAATCGATTGCACTTAAGTGAAAAATGAATTTTAACTTAGAAAAACTTGAGTAAGGATTTATAAAACATTTCTTTTCACCATTGAGCATCTATGTCTTAAGTTCAAAGTAAGTATTATCATTATACCTTGAAAGTTGCTAAGAGCTTGAACTGAAGACTTTTTCCATAGATGCCTTGAGCTTGATTAAAAATCTTTGCCTTCTTTGTCAATTATGGTTTGTCTTCATCAAAACAAAAGTTCATTTGAGAAGCTTGATTTTACATGAGCTTCTCTGATACTGTCTAGAAATTCATTATTAACCTTCAACATAGCCTATATAACACTTCGTGGTGTAACCTCGCTGTTGTACCCCAAAATTTTCCCTCTCATATCTCTCAAAACATTGCAAGAAAAATCTCCAAGTTGCTCAAGATTGCTCAAGAGTTGGACAGTCAAGTCATCTCCTAAGGTAGTCAATTTCAAATTAGAGTTTTGTGTTGCATCAAGGTCCTTGCATCCAAATGACCTCAAGTTCTCCACAATGTCCTAATATGTTCCTAAGTTCATCCATGTCAAATTTCAAACCTTGCAGAGGAAGTTTGCTCAGTCAATTGCTCAAAGGGTCCAAAAATCAACTGTGCTAGGGCAAAAGTCAATTGTGACCTATAAACAGTCAAACTTCAAGATTTTTTGTCAACATTCTCACTTTGAAGTATATTTCATTATTTGATCAAGGGTTGATCATGATTCATCAAGGATTGCTCAAAATTCATCAAGACTCAAAAGTTGCTAAATTAGGGTTTTGCAGGAAAAGTCAACTCAACTTTGACAAAGCATAACTTTCTCATACTTTATGATAAATGACCCATCCAAAGCTAATTTTGAAGAGGATGCAATTTCCTACAATCCATCTTCATACCCCACGATCAAGAAATGCACTCACAAAAAGTTACAAATTTGGACATTATAGGTCATTTTTGAAAGTCAACAAAAACACATTTTTTGCCAAAGCTTATAACTTGAGCATGGAATATAAAAATGAGATGAGACCAAAATGGTTGGTTAGAGAACATCTAAAGCTTTCTAAAAAGTCCAAGAACACTTCCAAAAGTTCAAAATTGAAGAAGTTATGCATTGTTGAAGTTGGGTATTTTTGCAAAATTGCCAAAAGTCAACTATCCCCAAAACTTCAAAATTTGTCAAATGGGCCCATTCTTTTCCACTTGATTTGATCTTGTCACACTACACACGTGCCATAGCTTCAGCCTTGTGACCATTTATCAATTTTATTATTTAATTTGATTTTTTAATGAATTATTTCATTTTAAATCAATTTAAATCAAATAAAATCCAAACATTGATTATTTGATCTCTTTTTGGCTATTTCGGGATTGAATCATCATCATCAAGTGAATCAAATTCGTATCATACATTCCATGTGCAAAAAGATTGGATTTTGGACAAAATTGGAAGGTTATCAATGGTGAATCAAATCAAATCTCCAAGCATTGATGTACAAGGATTCAGCCCACATTTGTTGACCTAATGCATTGCTTATTACTTATACAAGCCAAAGCACACGAATTCAGAGGTTAGAGGCTGCAAAATCATCAAGAACCAAACTTGAAAAAAGGTGAAAAAGTGTGAAACTGAAATCGTGCATAAAGGCCAATTCAGAAGCAAAACTCCACACTAATCCATTGTTGGGAAATCATTGAAGCGAAACCAATCCCTAACAAGCTCTCATATGCGCCCTAAAGCTCTGTAAGTGTCTCAAAAATATGCTTTTCAGTTGAATTCGTAGCTCATTATTCTTGCACTTTTCTTACAAAATCTTTGCATATTCATGATTATCATTCAATTTAGAAGCATTCTACATTAGCCAATTGCATTTATCTGGCCTATAACCCCCTAGCCGAATCTAGGGTTCGTGTTTTGTTATTTTTGGGCATTTTATTTATAGGCAAAATTGATGCCATTGATGGACATAAATGTGATCAGGGAAGGTAGACGAGCATGACCATGTGCTTAGAATCAATTTCCACGGACTAGAATGGATTTTAGGACGCACATACGAATTTAGCTACAG